TTTTTTTTTTTTTTTTTTTTTTTTTGTCCGGCAACGGATCGCAACCCTCGGTGTTGCGCCTGCACCTCGCTCAGCCAGTGAGCGGGAACCGGTCTGTATGTGGGATCCGAACCCTTGGTGGGAGCGCCGCCGCGCTCCCAAGCGGCGCACTGTAGCAGTGCGCCACCGGGCCGGCCCCGTTTTAGCTTTTTTGTCTAAGTAACTTAAACTGTTAAGTAAACCGTTGCTTTGCAGTAAGTAAATTTAAGCTGTGCTGAAACTTGTAGATTTTGATTTGGTGAATATGAATTGATATTTTCCTTTAATTTTGATTTTACAAATATTGATTTCATGCTGTAGTTCAAGCTAAATGTTCTCATGTCTCTTCAATCTAAGGGGATGTCCCTTAAAAAGCATAATTGATGATTCTAGAAATATGAAAACAAGCATAATTCAAGTTAGTTCTTTAACAGAAATATGCTAACTGTGGTATTGCCATTGAGGTAGTAAAATTTATTAAGCACAAATTCTAGATACTTGTTAAATTTATGATTTACATTTTTAGGTTTATTCATAGTGTTATATTTTATGAAACTTAAATCTTCTGAGTTTTCTCACAATTGATAGTAGCCCATTACTAATTTTTAATCCATGTGCTCACTTCTAATGAATTTTGTTTGATCCATTAGGACATTATACATTTCTGCATCTTGTTTTTGTACACACACACACATCCACACCCCAACACCCCTCTGCAGTTTATTGTCCAGGAGAAGCAGAAGGAGATAAATGAAGTTGAAGACTCCCTTACATACATTTATGAGTGCTATTTGTTGACAGAGTTGTTTTTCCAGTACTACCCTTGGTTTAACTGATAAAATGATACTATGGGAAATCTGTAGTTTTCCTTCCATGAAAGTAAGAATATACATCTGCCAGTGTGTTTATTACATGTATTTTGCTGTCATGTCAGTATAACTGTTTTGTCAACATATGTTTTTATAAAGACTTCAATAGAATTCTTTTATATCTGTGTTAAGGTAACACACTGACCATATATTTACTTCAGAAAATCTCTGTACTAATTAGATAGCACAGCTAGTTACTTAAGAAAGTGAGTGACATGAATGTTTGTCTCAGAATTCTAGATTAAAATTCATTATTTTGATAGACCTTCCTTAGGAGCTATCTTAAAACTTATGGTTAGCAGGAAATTCTAACCTACTCAAATGGATTTTAAAACCATACTTTAATATTGAGTAAATACTTCCAGTTCCTCACACCTCTCATTTTGTACTCCTTGCTACCTGGTTTCTTTCTCAACACTAACTTTATTTGTTTTTCTGTTTTAGTTCTATAAACATGTGGTACAGAGTGTTGAGAAATTCATTCAGAAAGTAAGTATAATTTTCCATACATATGCTAAATGTACTATAATTGTAGATTAATGCTTTTGCTCTTCTCCTTTAAATCAAATGCCTGAGTTTAAGTTGTTTTGATGGACTGGTAAAAAGTGATTCCAGTTATTTTATTTTCTAATTAAGAAATAAAATGAAAATACCTTTTGGATAATTCTAAAAAGAATAGCTTTCAACTAGATATTTTTGCTAAATTTGCATTGCCATCATGAGCATCTGTTCGTTGAAAAAAATAGTGTCGATATGAATGATTTCTAATGGAATTATGAATCTATTGCTTTGTATTGCCTTTAAGGAAACTCTTACTTGTCATGTCGAGCTGTATGCCTAGAGAACAGCTCTCCTTTAATAAAGATGTAGGTAAAATATGGCCTACCAGCTGTTTCTCTTCTACTGATTCATTTTGGCTGATCCATTAGGACATTGAACATTGCCATATCTTATTATATAGACCTGCAGTTTCATTTTCTAGGGGAAGCAGAGGGAGATAAAGTTGAAAATGACTGTCTTGCATACATTTAGTAATGCTTTTGTAACCAGAATCTGAAGTGACTAGATTATAGTTCTTTATCCTCTTTGTGAATAGCACTCTACTGATGCCACAGTTTTTGACAGGAGTACATAATATATAACTTATAAAATGATACTGTGGGAAACTGTATTTTACTGTAAATGTACTTAGTTTTTGTATTCTGTCCATGTTCATGTGCTTTGCTGTAGGCAGAGCCAGTCCGAGAATCAGAGGTATATGGCATTAAGGATTTAGCATGGTTGCAGTGTGTTTTCTGACTGGGAGAAGAGTGTAGAAATCAAAGTGAGATTACTGTGTCATTAAACTAGCTACATAACCTTGAATAAGTCAGTTAACCTTTATGTGATTCGTTTGTTCTCTTTTTTTTAAAGCCTTATTTTTTCAATGCTTTAAGTATTGGTAAAATATATTTTGGGATTTAGTAGTTTAGATAACTTGAAGCTGTGACACAGGTAAAATAACAAATATATTGTCTGTTTTAGGTAAACCAAATTATAAAATAAAAATGTTAGTGATTGGAAAGTTGCACTGGTCTAAAGCTTTTAAAAGTCTTTTTTAAAGGTTCTAAAGTCTAACACTTTGACTCTTCGACTTTATTATGCCTAGGAATTACCTAGGGATCTTGTTGAAATGCAGATTCTGATTTATTGAGTGTGGAGAGCAGCCTGACATTCTGCGTTTCTAATAGTTCCTAGATGATGCCTTTTCTTTCTTTCAGAAACTACAGTTTGAGTAGTTGGGGTTTAAAGGATAAATGCAAATTTATGGATAAGTGTTTTTTGGCTGATTTGATGTGAGCTGGGGTACTTTTAATAAGATATTTCAAAATCTTAGGACGATTTGGAGTGAGCAAAGTTATCCCATTTTGAGATAATTATAGAGTCAATCTGAAGAAGCAAGTCAATGTCAGGAAAATTTTAAGTCCTTTGCCGCTCCCCCTGTTTAAATCAGAGATTCGGGAATGGACTCGTGTAATGGTTGAATTAAGTTGTATATATATAGTTTTAATTAAACTTTCAATTTTGAGATAAGTGTGGATTCACATGTTATTGATCAGTAAGAGTAGGCTGTAATAATACAGAGAGATCCTATATACCTTTCACTCAGTTTCCCACAGTGGTAATATCTTATATGACTGTAATATAATATCAAAGCCAAGACATTCATACAGCCACCTTATTGACACACCAACCTATTCAGATTCTACTGGTTTTATATGCACTCATTTGTTTATGTGTGTATTTAGTTCTATGCAGTTTAATCACATGTATGGATTCATATAACCACTACCATAATGAAAATACAGAACAATTCCTTTACCACGGGATTCATCATGTTTCTTCCTTAAATATAGTCACATTCAACTCTCCTAATACCTGGCAGTTGCTAATCTGTTCTCTATCTCTATAATTTTGCATTTCAAGAGTGTTATGTAAGTAAAATCATATAGTATGTAGCCTTTTGAAATTGGCTTGTTTTGCTCCGCATAATTTCCTTGAAATCTAGACAAGTTGTGTGTATCAAATAGTTCCTTCCTTTTTATCTCTGAGTAGTATTGCATGGTATGAATGCACAGCCGTTGAACCGTTCACCCATTGTGAAGGTCATCTGGGTTGTTTCCAGTTTGGGGCTATTATGAATAAAGCTGGGAAGAATATGCATATACAAGTTTTTGTGTGAATAAAAGTTTTCATTTCTCTGTGATAGTAAGTGCATGTATTATTTTGTAAGAAACTACCAAACAATTTTCCAGAATGGCTGTACCATTTTATATTCCCTTTACATACCATAAACAAATAGTGCAAGTAAGGGAGAAGTGTAGCTGCAGTTTGATAATGTGTTGTCTATGGTTCCATGTTTTAGCCATGAAAGATTTATAGATAGAGTAATGAGTGATGATGATAAATGAAAAATTAACAATAAAGACTATTTCCTGTAGGTCAAGAAAACTGCTTGAAAGAATATCCTGGCCTTTGTCCTAATTAGTTTTGCCAAAAATTAGATCAAAAATAGAAACAGATGTTAGGAAGTTTTATAATAAGACAAGTTTTAGAACTTCTGTTTGGATCACCTTTGTCTCACATTCCCTGTGTTTGCATTATGAGTAACAAACTTAGTTATCCTGAATCATAAAAGAAATTTTATCTGGAGTCATATACTTCATGATTTGCTGTCTTTTCTCCCATCAGTGCTAACCATTCTTTTGTCATTTGCTAGTTTTTGACATGCAAAACCTAAATTCTCAACTCCATTCCAAAAATATGTAGCATTTAGCCAACTCTTTTTTTCCATATGATGTCTTCTGCCCTTTTGCATGAATACTGCAAGCAAATCTGTCCACTGAATTTAGAATAGGATTGAATATTATTACTCAGAACTACTCATTTTGATGCAGTCTGGATGCTCTGTTTTAGTTTTAGTCAAATATATGGCACTATATTCATATTTTTAGTCAAATACATGGCTACTCTTAAGATACCATAAGGTCAGGGGGCCGGCCCGGTGGCGCACTGCGCTAGTGCGCCGCTTGGGAAGCGCGGTGGCGCTCCCGCCGAGGGTTCGGATCCCACATACAGACTGGTTCCCGCTCACTGGCTGAGCGAGGCATGGGGGCAACACCAAGGGTTGCGATCCCGTTGCCGGTCCCGGTCCGGTACGGGGGCGACACTGAGGGTTGCGAACCATTGCCGGACACGGAAAAAGACAAAAAAAAAAAAAAGATACCATAAGGTCAGGAAAAAATTTTATCTTTCTAGGTTCTGATAATGGTCTATAGATGAACTACTGTTGCCTTATTTTATAAGTTTTTGGCTGTGATTATCTTCAGATTTTCTACTGCATTGTTATATCAGTGAGAGGAGAGATTGTGGCTTATTGTCATTTTCATGTAAACGTTTACTCAGTGAATAATATATGAAGAAACTGTGCTAAACACTGTAGGTATTTACCATAATAAAGTGTTTGGATTTCCAGGAACTCGATCTGGTGGTTTTTGCACATTTTAGGTGGTTGATATTTTGCAGTGTATACATTTTTTAATGAAGTCAAAACAGTTCGCCATGTTTTGTGGTACATTTATGCTGCCCTTTGGTATTTCTCCAGAGGAAGGGTAGAGTTCATATTGAAAGATGGCCGTTATACTTATATTTACTTACCTCTGTTGTCTTCTGTGTGTGTATATATCTAAACACACGCACACACACATGCAGGTATTTCAAACAAGTTCATGGAAAGATTCATGTTATCTTTCAATTCTATTTTTCCATGGACTTCTGAAGTCCCCTTGTATACACACACACATATAAATATATACACTTCCATAAAGTGTGCAGTATTCTGTAAGAGTGGACTTTTATCACAGGTATAATTTTACCTTTGGAGGGTGGGGTGCATGAAGGTTTTGGTGCTTGGGCACAAGTAGTTTAAAAGGAGTAATTTCCAGGTTCTCACTTTCTATATGTACTTTTTACTAAAATTCCCCTGGAATATTTAAAATCAATTCTAAGTCCCACAGCTCTTTAAATTTGCATTTCAAATATATTTCAGTCATCTTTAACCATTATAAAGAGAAACTTTTGCTTATTATGTTTTATTTAAGAAGCCAGGAATGTTTATATTATATAATTATTTCTTTTTATTGTGAAATATATATGCACATACACAGAAAAGTGTAGAAAGCAATATATGCAACTAAATTTTTATAAAGGGAGGACCTGTGTAACTCCTGCTTAGTTTAAGAAACAGACCTTTGAAGCCCACAACGCTGAAGTGCCTCTTCCTGATTGTGTCTTGCACATCCCCTACCCAAGTAATCACAGTCTGAGTTTTGCTTAGTTTAAGAAACAGACCTTTGAAGCCCACAACGCCGAAGTGCCTCTTCCTGATTGTGTCTTGCACATCCCCTACCCAAGTAATCACAGTCTGAGTTTTATGTTTGTTATGTCCTTGCTTTACATTATAGTTCTACTTTATAAGTATGAATTCTTAAAGTGCTTTAATGTACTTTTTAATTGTACATAGTGGAATCCTATAGAATGTGTTCTTTTGTGTACAGTTCTTTTACTCAACATCATGTTTATGATTTATTCCTGTTGTGGGTAGAAGTTACTATTTGTTGTTATTCATGGCTATATATATTCCATTATGTGAATAAACTGCAGCTTGTTCATTCTACTGTTGACAGACATTGTGTGTGTGTGTGTTTTGTGTGTGTGCATGCATGTGTACTCCAGTTTTTGGAATCTGAACAGCGTTGTTGGGAATGTTCTTATAAATGTATCTTGATGCAGCTTGCATTTCTGTAGGTGTGGAGTTGCTGGGTTATAGGACATGCATTTCTTCAACTTGGCTAGATAATTTTAAATAATAAATTACTTTCATAAGGGTTGTACTGATTTACATTCCCACTAGCAACGTGTGGGTTTGTATTGCTCTCCATCTTTGGCAG